AAGGATGCAGGGGGCACCGGGGGGGGGGCTGGAAGAAAGGAACAGGCCAGAGAGGATCCAGGAACAGCGCAGTAAATTTGGAGGGGAGAGAGGAGAGCTTGGAAAGCCGCGGTGGGAAGCGAGGGGAGAGAGCACGAGGTGATGTTGTGGGAGGAAGAAGACAACTTGCGAAGGTTTTGGTAAAGCAAAGAAATGGACGAGACTTCAAACCTTAGAGAGGGAGCCGGCGAGGCTCGGAGCGTTGCGGGGACGCGGGATGGGGCGGTGAAGGCGGGGAAAGCTGTGCGGTGGGGCTCGGAAAGCGCGCCCAGGGGAGGCTCCTGTTCGGACTGCCGCCGTCTGAGGTGTTCTGGAAGGAAAGCACCGGCAAACGTGAGGACACTCGCTGCAAGAGTGTAAACTATGCTAGCTGTAACATAGTAGCTACATTCGAGCCATGAAAGCTACAAGGAATCACTGCAGGGGAGCTTACACCATGCAGAGTTCCCTCCCTGCTTCAACTGTTGTCTTATTTGTGCTCTATCCCATAAACTGCCCATCAAAGCCACCTAATTCTGGAAAGCGGGTGCTCCCAACTCTCACATATGCTCGTTGATCACTTGACTTTGTGAAGGCTGTCGTTCTGACAGAGAGCAAGCTCGGGCTGCTCCAATGAAACGGTAGGAGTGTTGGTTGCACACCGGATGCCAAGGAGCAAGGCCAGGATCCGTCCTACGTAACCCCACGTAGCGCTGAGACAGAAGACACCACAGTCAGTGGGTAAAATCATTTGGGTTTGGGTCTTCACCATTATTCCTTTCCGTGATCTTTACGTGTATTGCTAGACGTGTGACTCATTGAGCAAATCGCTTTGAGTAGATGGAATGCAAGATTCCCTCCTCCTCCTTCCAACCACACACACAGAAAAAGTGGGATGGGACACAGAGACAAGAACCCGAGCCCTTTTCCAAACCTAAGATGCAACACTTCATCTGCTAAAGAAGGAGGCTGGAAATACACATTTACTGTTCCACTTCATCCAGACAAAAAAAAAAAAAATAATTCAAGTTATGTTGGTTGGCACCAACTTCTAACGCTCTTTTTGGTTCCTTATCTAGTTAGTTACGGAATCTGCTTTCCTGCAATCTCTATTGTGAAGTGGAATGGAACAGGCATAAAGAAAAATTAGGGAAAATCAGCAGCAAAATAATTTGGCATACCAGAAAACTACACACAGAAAAAATAATTTTTGGCAGCATTCAGTTGTTTTTCATCTTTCTACAGAAGATTTCTTGGTGAGAAATTCAGCTATTATGTCACTTACATTAGTCAGGAGGAAACTCCTCCATCCCCAAAATGCTGAATGTTCCAAAACAATGTTTGTTACGTAAGCACAGTAAGGGTTTCCTGAAAACAGCTCAAAAGGCCTTTCAGTGTATGATGAGAGGTTTGACCGTGCCCCTTCTGACACCCAGCTGGGAGCACACCACTACCCTTCTTGTGAAACCAGCTGGGTACACCGCAGCTGATCTTTTTAAAGGTGCACTGCTGTGCTGAGTTCCCAACATCCATCACCTGGAGGCAATTATTAAATACATCCATCACCTGGAGGCAATTATTAAATATAGTGCAGAGAGGCTAAACTATCAACATGAATGGGAATTACATTAAAGCCACGTGGTCCTGGCCAAAGTCGTCCACATTTAAAGCAGTCAGACTGACAGATTGCAAAGGCATAGAGAGAACTTTGAAATCTATAGGATTTTAGTTTGCTAATTAAAAACAAACAAACAAAAAACGTGGCAAGCAGCAGCAGAAGTCCATAATGCAACATCCCACTTTCTGAAAGGTTAGAAATATGACCTATGGACCAACACACTGAAATAGCTTATATATAAACACAGCAACACAATTCAGAGGAGGGTATTCTCATACAGTGAATTAGCAAGAATTTGAGAAAGCTAAAAAGCAATGTTTTCCAATTTTAAGTATTAGCCTATTATTAACAGTTCATAACACATCTGCTTTGGTGGTGGTATCTAGAAAGCAGGTTGGCAAGGTAGGTGCGCTGTACAGGAAGACACATCTCCTCAGCCAACTTATAGGCTAAATAAAAAGGACAGATAACAGAAATGAGAAGGGACTAATGTTACCCCAATACCACAGGCAGGGAGCTGAAGTACAACAGATGAAGAGACTTCACTGACAGGCAATATTATAGACAATATTATATTGGTGTCAGAATCAAAAAATAATTTCAGCTCCAGTACCTTAATCAAAAATTGTTCTCCTTCGTACCTGATGCATTTGTTTATGGACTTGACAGCCTGGGTATTCTACAGTCTTCTGGTGGTGTCTTATACAGGTGATGGATGTCGATGGATAGAAATATTTACAAACAATAATGATGTAGCACTATGCAGAAATTTAAAGTAAATAATTGCCATTAGGACTTACATTTTATGCTGCTTTGCAACCAGATGTGTCCATTAACTTCTACAGCCTTTACCAGGGTTTAAGAAAGCAAGTTGAAAATCCCTTACTCATTTTACTCTTTCTGTTTAGTCACTGTGTAATTGAAGGAGCGTATCTTTCAATTTCTGCTTATATACATTTTTGACAGAACCATTGCAAGTAGAGAAATGTATTGCTTAGTCCCAAACAGGACATTGCTGAAGGATTACCTCTGACCCGAGATTCATCCATTCACACATCCAGAGCCACCACGTTGTTCTGACATGTTTTATTGGTCTTGTAAAATAGAAATTCTAAAACAAGGGGGAAAAGGTCAGAGCGTGCATTCACTGAGAATTATTGACATGGACCTGGCATCAGAGGCAGTCAATCAGAAAGAGCCATTTGAGTCTAGAGATGTAAAGATTATTTTAATCATAATTTCCCCAGTATGAATTCAAGATACTGCTGAAGGAGAGGATTTAACCCTGACAGACAGTTTGCTGAAGAAACTTGGGTAGCTCCAAGGTCACAGTCAATACAACCCCATGATATATCAGGATATTTAGCTGGGAGTTTTAACTACCATGATGATCATATTTTCTGAAAAATATATAAAAAAAATTAATATCATGGCGAATATCAGTTTTTCTAAGTAACAAAGAAGAGATAATTTAGCAGTAATATTCAGGCACAACATGGTATTACTCTATTGTAATAGAATAATAAGTAATAAGGTACAAGTAATTAAGGATATATTAGACTTCATTAATTAAAAAACAACTTAAGCATCAAAAATAAAGGAAATCATGAAAGAAGATTCTTTTTCAACGTTATAAAAGTCACTTTGCCATCCATGCAAAAGACTTCAGTACATAAATATACATAATTCAGATTCTATAGCAAACCCCACTGTGGCACTTGTTATAGGATCAGGGTGTAAGGTTCACTCTTCTTTATTGCTTTATTTCAGGACATGTTTGCATAACACCAAAAATGGGAAGCACATAACCTGACTGGGTGCCTAAAGCCATAATTCAAACAACTTTAAACTTAATGTACAGTTAAAAATAACTAACTAAGCCACAGGAATCTAGATTTGATTACTTTTAGAACTTTATGTATTACCAAAGAAAACGACAATATATTTTCCTGTTGGGAAAACAAAAGGGAAAAGAGCGTATATGCCGTTTTAAAGAAGAAAATAGATTTAAAAGATGGCATTATAGAGCATGCATTTTAATGTGATACATAAAAGCCTGGTATTGCAACCACAGGGTAGAGAAGTAAGTATCCACTTTTTTGGTAGAATGGAAGTCATGATTTTGCTAGTCATATAAAGGAAGAGGGTTTATGTGTGCCACATGCAGCAGCAATGACATTGATGTAATTTATGTTTCTTTACAAGCTTGACCTAGGCTTAGGGCCTTCCTCAGTGTTTGCTCTTTTGCTCCATGGGTTTAAACTTGCCTTGAACATGAGACAACCTGAGCAGAACAATGCAACATTTTGCTACTGCACCCGCTACCGCATTGATTCTCTAGAAGTCTGTAAGCATTTCTCTAGAGACTTACTGAGGTCAAGAGCTTTTAATAAATAAGTAGGGAGGCCATCAAGTAGAATAGAAAAAACAGCCTGAGAAATTAGTATAAAAATAAACACTACTTTCCATATATTCCACAACTGCTAATAGGTTAATTAA